CCCCTTCCCTGCAGTTCTGCAGGGAAAGCTGGGAGGCTTGGGGTTGGTAGCCTGGTGGACGATCTCCATCAACTCTTACAGCCCTCCGGGGGAAAACACAGCACTGCTATTAAGCCCCCTTCTTCTTGAAAGGTAAACTGAGGCCTGGAGAAGCTAAAAGACTTGCCAAAAGGTCACGGCCGCTACACGGATGGGCCAAGATTTGACCCTCAGTCTTCCACCTCTTAAATCGGGGCTATAGCCCCCCTGCAGCAGGATATTAGCATGCTTCTTCCATTTTTATACGAAGCTGGAAAACAACTAAGGGACAGCAGTAGCCATAAATATGATGTTTCAAAGAGGAATCTGCAAAGCAAGCCTCTCAATAGCGATGCCCGGGTAGGAAGAGCTTCTCTACTCCCTCCACACTTGTACCCTCCTCATCCCTCTAGTGTCCCACGTCACCGCCAGGATTCAGACCCGCATGGCCTCAGAAGCCCTGGAGGGCAGTTTCCTCTCTCTGCGCCAGGGGTTGTTCTCAACCTGGGGCAGTGCTCAGGGAGTCTGCAGACTTGGGTGGGGAAACATTACATCTTTATTTCCACTAATGTCAAACCGAAATGCAGCATCTCCTTCCATTGCTAATGAGGTGACACATGACAGTGTTATTAGCGGTACCTGAGATCGTCACCAACAGAAATCACAGATGTTTTCCCACCATAGGACAGGATTGCACACATCTCAAGATATTGTTTACGCTCCTCATAAATTATGGCAGGTAGCCCACCTGCGACTGGAGTTTCTTTCTTTTTGTTTTTGGCCACACCTTGTGGCATGAGGGATCTTAGTTCCCTGACCAGGGATCGAACCCGTGCCCCCTCCATTGGGAGCACGGAATCTTAACCACTGGACCACCAGGGAAGTTCCTGGAGTTTCTTATTTAACGTGCTAATAAAGCAGCACATACAGGCGGACCCGAGAGATATCGCGGGTTCTCTTCCAGACCACTGCAATAAAGCAAATACCACAAGAAAGCAAGTCACATGGATTTTTTGATTTCCCAGTGCATATAAGAGTTATGATTCCACTATACTATAGTCTCTTAAGTGTGCAATAGTATTATGTCTTAAAACCCAATGTACATACCTTCATTTAAAAATAGAAAAAAAATACAAAACAAAAAAACAATTACAATAGTCACATCAAAGATCACTGATCACAGATGACCATAATGAATATAATAATGAAAACCTTAAAATATTGTGAGAATTACCAGAATGTGACACAGAGACACAAAATGAGCAAATGTTGTTAGAAAAATCGTGCTGACAGACTTGCCCGATGCAGGGTTGTTACAAACCTTCAATTTGTAAAGACTGCAATATCTGCAAAGTTCAATAAAACGAGGTATACTTGTATATTACATTAAAAGTTTACTTATATAATATTTCGATAAATGCACGTCGATATAACTGGTTTCCTTTATAATCCCATATATGTTGGCTTGTGCATTTAAAAGCATTATTCTGAGAAGGGGTTCACGGCTCCCCAGACTGCCAAAGGAGTCTGGGGCACAAAAATAGTTAAGAACCCAGATGGAAGGTAAATTTCCTTCCCGGACACTTTTTGTAATTGGATGAAACTATTTCAACTGTCCTTCCCCAGGCTTCACTCCTGCTTTCCCCACCCCAGACCGCAGCAAGGGGGTCCCCTCACCCACTGCCTGGCCCCTTTCACGCTTCTTCCCACATTTAAGGGAACTAAATCCCACGCTCCTCTCACAAAGTAACAGAAGAAAAAGAGCCCCTCCCTCTCCCCTCCCCAGAACTGGCGTCTTCTGCATCTAGGATTTTTTTTTTTTAAGTGATGTTTTTTCTCCTCTGCAGTGTTACCCTGGCGACTACAGGGCTTGCTGTGTCGTAGAGAGGTGCCAGGAACAGATTTCTAAATGAGTTTGGAGCCCAGCCAGGAAAACCGATAAAAACAACACACTGTAAACAACATTTATTCAGAAAACCCAGCCAGGTTTAGAGGGGGTTTTGTGGAAAGCAAAAGGGAAGGCAGAAAGAGCAGAGTCATGGTAGGGAGAGAGATAGCTTGTCCTAAATACATAAACACAAAATGAGGTCACTGGGGCCACGGATATTTCAAAAGGGCCCAAAGCAGGGATTTCTGAGGAGCTGCAGGACAATACAGAGTCCCAGGCCAGCTGCAGGGTCTGGAGGCCCGGTCGTGACCTGGGGAGCGACATTTTACAAGCGCTTCCTGGCCTCGGCCCTGGGGTGGTGGTGATGCGGGAATGGGGGGGGG